GTTGTTACTAACGAGGTCGTTACAACAGTCCTTTCATTCAACGCATTCGTCTAAACCAACTACCATAACAAACAAGAAGCATACAAAAGTCCAACTCGATTCTAAGCCACAAGTTATATTCAGAGTGAACCCCAAATTTCACATCAATAATTTTCTGGTGCCACGAGCTGGGAAATATGTTTGAAAGTATAATTAAAGGAACTGAAATACCAAGATCAAGAATTCGAGAACTTCTTGGCGAAGTAAGCGAACTCCATCTAACTCTTCCGAGTCATACAATTCCACAAGAAGAACTCAAGTAACAATACGAAATCAAATTGCATCAAAGAGAAAATCACACATCTCGAATATTATGCCGGATTGCTCGAAACAGCCAATCAACAATGATTACATATCATTCAGGGAATGACAGTCGTAACGAAGAGGAAGGAAAAAGCAAAATATGCCAATATGGTTGACGATCCATAAGGTATTTTAAACTTGATTACTAGAACAAGAGAAATTATCACTACTCTTAAAATATGTTGTGATGATTATTACTTGGTACTTCAAGATTTAAATCAAGAAGATATCAGAGAATCATTCTCAAAGAATAGTATGATCTTCACGAAACCACTAATACCATTTAGTGGGGATCCAAAATTCTGGAGACAATTTTTGTATAGTTTTAAGCCGCCAGTTCATAAGCAAAACATTAAAGACATTCAGAAGTTGAACTACTTGATATCTTGTCTACCTGTAAAGAAATATAATATAGTGCCAGAGAACTACCATGTCATAAAAGATTTACTAATAGAGAAGCAGGTAAGCCTTTCATTATAAAGAAATCATTTTACAATGAATTGAATTCTACCAAAAGAAAGACCTGATTGGACAGCTGGAAGCTGTAGGTGAGAATTTAGAGCATGCAAATAACAAATTTTCAATTGAGAATAAATTATCAGCGTGGATAGTGGATAAGTTATACTAATTGAAAGAGGAATCGACGAATTGATCGGTTAAAGGTATCCGACAATACTTGACAAGGCTAGCACAAAGAGATGTAGTTGCTAGAAGTCGAGCGAACACAAGTGAAATTTCAGCCTTAGCCACAATCAATTCACCAAAGGGAGACAATAAATCAAATCATAAAAGATTCCAGAAGAAATTCCAATGGGCAGAAAAAGAAGACCATGCGTATTTTGCAATAAGGACCATTGGAATAATGAATGTAACTTTTACCCCACACTCAAACTCCAGATGGAACGTTTAAGGAAAATCACTACATGTTTCAAATGTCTTTGAACAGGGCATGCGACAAGTGATTGCTAAAAAGGGAAACTTTTGTGCTTCCATTATAAACGTTCACACAGTACGGCACTGTGTATTTCACTTACAAGAAAGTTAAGCAAACAGTGGATTCCAACAAGGAAAAACTGGATTCGCTCACAATCGCTAATTCTGTTACCGCAAAAGGAAATTCAAGAAATAAATGTTATCGATCCCAAGCGCCCAGAAATTTAGCTCTATTTGATATTGCTTCTCAATTATTGTTCATAGCAAAGGAATTGGCATATTGGTTAAATCTACAAAGAACCAAAGAAATGGAGCTAAACACTGCTTCATTTGGAAATAAGACAACAAAAACGTATCTTACTACTGGAATAAGGAAATAATCCAATTAGATGCAGTGACAGTTTCCTACTTGACGAATGTAATTACAAGTAGTTGGTCTAAACAAAAAGGGATTATCGAAGATAAAGAAATAAAATCAATTAAGCAACTTCAAAGGCCAATGGAAACAACCGGACATTCTCATGGTTGCTTATCACTTCTTTAAGTTTATTCAGTTCGACAAAGTAGAGAACTTAAGATACGGATCTTCCTTGATCCATACAAAGGTTGAATCTATGCTAGTTGTAAGTGGATATATAAATGAAAGTTCACAACAATAAAACCATATCAGTGGACCATGCTTATCTAGTCAATACCATCAATATTCTAAACGTTTTCGGAAACTGGAATTAATTGGCATTTAAGATAAAACAAATGCTGGCAATGATGAAAAAGCATTGGAGTAGTTTAAATAAACTATCACTAGGAACGAGGAAGATGTCAAGTCTGTTGTCCTTGGAAAGACTCAAAGAACCAACTGAGCAATAATTTCGGACTTTGCTTTGGAAGATTAAAGTCGTTAATTAGAAGGCTGCAAATGAAACCTCAATTACTGGGTCGATATAATGAAACCATTAAAGAACAACTCAATTCCAGTATAATCGAGAAAGTATCACCGGAAGTGAATGAGGTTTTCATTATCTACCCCACCACAAAGAATTAGCACCCAATAAAACCACAGCAAAACTGCGAATCGTTTATGACATCAGCTGATTGTAAAGGAATGAAAAGTTTCAATAATGTTTTATATCGGCAGCGGATAACACCTCCTGATTTAACTGAAGTACTGTTACGCTTTCGTACGATGAAAAATGTGATAATAGCATATGTAGAAAAGGCATTCTTGCAAATAGAATTGCATCCAACGGACAGAAACCACTAACTTAAGTAAATTTTGACGATTGTGTCATATTGCGTCCAACTGACTTCATATTGTCGAACGTTCCTCTAGTTATGCCTACTTGTATGAGTTTATCCTTCATAAATTGACAAACAAAAACATTCAAGAAAAATTCGTGCAGTAATAGACGAATACATTAAAGGCCCTAAGGCCCTTGGTACCTTCTGGGGAATATGGAAAGACGAGTAGCTGACTAGTCTTAAAGAGAGGACCTAAAGAGAACATTCCTCTCCAAGCAATGTAGTAAGAAGAGCTCTTCATGAGGGAGAGATTGTTAATAAATGAACTAGAAATTCCCCGTGGCATGTGGAAATTAGCCAGGATAAAGCAAATTAAAAGAGGAAGGGATGGAGAAGAAAGAAATGTCTCAATAGAATTACCACAAAGAAACTCAACGGACAAATATGCTGTAGCCACTGGAATCAACAAGGAAGGAAATTCGGATTCTCAACCACAAATCAATTCAAAGTGTTGACAAACAAGAAATGCTATGAACCGACACATTCAAACAAAGCTGTCCAACCATCCTTAAAGTATCCAGCTCCTTCAATCAGAAATGCCGAGAACTCGAAAGAATCTGCGAGCCTTTGTTCTAATTCAAATTTACTTACGTCGTTGAAATACTGTAAAGCTTTTCCATGCTAATAGTGATTCCTGGAGGAATTGACAAGGTTAAAATCCATCTCTTACTACATGAAGAGAAAAGATCATCTGATAGCTAGCTCTTAACTCAATGTAACCATGAGCTTGTTGCAAGTCAGTGCTAACTGCACATGGAATTAACTTTTCTAGATCAGTTTTTTTGTACCAGCACGTTATAGTTCGACTGCTCTCCCGCGCTCATTTAATTCAGTTCATTTAAATCCCTTAAGTTCCCCATCAATTCATTCATTTTCTTCAGTTCATTTGTAGATACTCTAGGAATTATCACCGTATTGTTGCTATAGATTAATACTTGTGCATCGTGGCTGCAAAAGCATTACAATAGGCTTTTCATTCAACGCATTCGTCTATATCAATTACAGCAAGAAACAAAGGCTCTTGAGCATAAGAAAGTTCAATTCTACTCTGAGCCAGAAGTTAGACTGAACCCCCCAGTTTCACAACAAGCAGTGGTGCAATAGCAGTGAATGCAGCGGTGCAGTGAAAGTACGACATCGGTATTATTTATATTATATAAGCGCGATATTATATAATATCATTAAAGAACAATAAAGTTATTGCCATGACATGTGAAGTTATGACAACACCTATTAAAAACTTCCTCTGACAATAAATACTATTACAAAGCAACAGTTTGATATCAACTAGCCATCTTGATTTTGCAAATCTCAGGTCTAGCACATGTTAAGCTGTAATATATGTCCATTCTAGATTTGATAGTTATGTTATTGCAACTACCACAAACTTACTCCGAAGCTACCAAACACTACCATCTACTTTCAGGGAAAATAATTACCACCACTAATACAAGTGACCTTAACAGAATTACAAATACAAAATCATCGCAACAATTGAGAACCATTTTCATTTAATTTAAATTACTAGTGACTACCCAGTCACCACAAATCCTCGGAGCATGGGAGAGGACCCCACTTTTTGCTTCGCTGCTCAGCCCACAAAAATTATAACACAAGTGTCAAAACAACCCTGTAGTAAAAAATTAGTGGAATTTGAAGGGAGGAAATGAATTTATATCTCAGTTAATCAAAGTTAATGGGAATAATTTAGAACATTGCTGAAAAAGATGGATGAACAATGGACAAAAAGGAAGGGAAAACGCACTCAGATACACAGTACAAAAAGGCTTAAAATCCCACTAAAAACAAAATTATAGAAACTTACATACCACCTTATCTTGATAACCAAACTGGAAAAACAATTAACGCAATTCAATCCGCTTGTGGATCTGGAAAAGTTTTACACTTCTTTTTCTTCATAAACGGGAAACAAAAAACTTCTGTCCTAAATGAAATACCAGCTTCAAAATCTCCACTACTCACTTGTTTTCGAATAAGCAGTAAAAACTTGTGATTCGATAAAAATGACATAAAATATAAGTTTTGTCAGTTTATTCCGGTATTTCTAATACAGTTGTGACACTGGAAGTTATCGCCATCAAAAAATTAATTTGTCCACAATGATGGTCAAGTTAGAGTAGACGATCACTAAAATATAATAAAAACAATGCTGCTGTAAGTAATGTTGCGAACTGCGCAAACATACAAGTAAATAATCATAAGCAGAAATAAACTAACAACATCTGAATATTAAATTTCATGAACAAAATTGAACGCTTTCAAATTCATCAAAAATATTTCATTACGACTAAGGCACCATCATTAGAACACATAATATGCAAATTTTATGCAATTATTGGTAATGCTTTCCAATTATTGTATATATTCATATTACAAATGAATACAATCTCGGATTTTAAGAAAGGCTACTCCACAAAGGATGAGCATTTTTTTTTCTCTTCACCACATCCAATTCTGCTGTAGAATGTGGGCTGAAAGGATTAAGTTTCAGTGAAGATTTGAGATAATAATAGATCAAGAAAAATCCCCAATTTCCGAAACGTTGCACCTAAAATCAAAAAGAACAAGAATCACTAAAATTCCGCTACCCTAAAGCAAAGTATAAGAAGTTTTTATTATTGTATAGAACCTGTAGGTCGTAAGTAACACTTTTATCCTCATCATCAGAATCACTTGACCCATCGTTTAATATGCCTGGTCCAGAAGTAACTGCATTTGAGTGCCCAGAATCCTTCGAAACAAATTTCGCAAAACACTTAATTGAACAAATAAGACAAAAAGCTTTTAACACAAAAAACTTGCACTATGTGGAAAAAAACTAACACTGTCACAAACGCGAACAGGCCTTTTACTTACAGGAATACGATAACTGTGTGAAGAACATGTTCCACATACGACATTACCACAAGCGCGACAGTGATGCTGAAAAGTTACAAAAAAGATGTAAATTTATTAAAAATTCTTTTTTTCTTTATCCTATCCCATCCTTAAATCATCGATCTTTTGGAAGACTTTATTCTTCAGCCACTGACTGCTAGAAATAATCTCGTACTATATTACTATTTGATTAAGCATAAGTTACAAATAACAACAATGAAAATGCATAAATAGAAATTTCAAAGCATAAAGATGAAAAACCTTTCCCACCGCAGTCAACTATCAAAGAACTGGTATTGAAGGCCTTGAAGTTACACAAGAATGAGAACAAAACTAAAAGATCAAAACAAGTGGTATCCTATTTTCTGTTGTTCGCAGAAAGACTAACCTTATTGTACCGTAAATGTCTTCATAAATGACATTTTTTTCTCTTCAACAACAAATAATTTTAGAAAACAACAATATGGAATAAAAACGCTACTAAACAAAACTGAATTACTGAGAACACACCCTGCGCTGTATGACGGTAAACTGTGTCCTTTGACAAGCCATGCACTTAGTCGCTTCACCATCAGGCACCCAAACTGCAGCATGCTCAGTTGCAGGTTTTTTTCCACCTAGAACAATTTGAGGCTTGATACAGTAATTGTTCTTGACAACATGCTTGAATGTCCATAAGGAAAAAATGACGCCATACAAACTGTCCAACGTTTATTGCACAAAATCCAACTTTTTAATTGAGTTCAAACTAACAGTATTAAAAAGGATTTAACGTTTAAATTAATTGAGTCTGGAAGACATATTTGATCATCGTAAAAATGAAGCCAAAAATCTCAAAGAATATGCTACCTCGGGTAAGAATATCATGTACGCAACGTTCAATGTGTAAAATCCATTCCTTCTTCTCTGTACTCGTTGCTGCGAAAACAGCGAATGACTTCAATCTTGTTTTAATGAGCCAACCATTCCTCATGTCTTAATGCAAATTACATGAATAAGTGGAAGCCATACATTAACTTCCAAATAATATTCGAATTTCTGGAAGACATATTTGATCATCGTTCCTTATGGCTGGAATTTGTAGAGGTATCTTCATTAATAAAAAACTGTTTTTCAATCCAGCGCCTGGATCAAACATTTATTCAAACGGAAAAGGAAAAAAAAAACACCTCACCTCCCTCATCGTCAAGATCTTGTAGCTGCACCTCTTCCAGTGGAATTACATGCTGTTTGTTGTAACGTTTTTTTGAGATTAAAATATTGCCATACACCAAAATATCATTGAAAAGGAAAAACTGGCGCGGTTTAGGTTTCTTCCTAAAAGTAACTATAACTGGCAATCTTCATTTGCGAATAAAATTCATTGAACTTCCCAATGACTACACTTACCTACACATTTTCACCAGTACTCCCTCACCGACCAAAACGCGTCCGTATGCTGTCAACTGTTGACCAGTACTTCCGAAACAAGCCTCAACATTTAAAATACGGCGAGTATTTACTTCACTATTTACTGAAAAATAAGTTTATATTTTTATATTTGGAATAAATGGCAAGTGAATGAGCTTTAAAGGATTTTAATTAAAAACCAAATGGTACTTGCTTGCTTTAGCACTAGTAAACCTAAGCTTTACTTTAACTATAATGCAAATCACGCTAAATAAGCAGCCTTGGCTTATTTAAGAGCTTTAATAGCCACAGTCAAAGCTGGTGTTTTACAAATAAAACTGACAATTTCTTTTGTTCAAAGTGTTACTGATATTCGAACAACGTACTTTTATCTTAATCAGATACAGTCAGAACAGAAATTATTTTCCTCTCAAACTAATGGTGTTTTGTTTTTCGTTTTTTTTTTTTTTTTTTTGTTTTTCACTTTCATTCGTAGCAGATTTGTTGTGAGAAATAATCGAAAAAAATATGAAGCGCTGACAATTTGAAATGAAACTTGGATTAGAATCTACAAAGACAAACCTAAACGGTCAACCATTGCTGTCTCACCAATATATAATTCGAACCTGGAAATGACTTCAAGACTTACTACACAAGCTGATCAAGGTTGTTCAAAACTGTTTAAAACAGTTTCAGTTGGCAAAAGCGAAGAATCAAACAAAAGAATGAAAGCAAAATATCAGTTCGACGTGTCCGATAAGAATCGATAACTATAAAAGGTATCCGAAATGCAGTTGACACTTTCTGAAATCAGCCAACCAAACATCTACTTCGCACGGCATCATCCTCTCCAATCATGTATTCCCTTCTTAAAACTTCTTACCTCAGTAAATTATCCTGTCAAAAGAAGTTACCCATAATCTACACCACCAGCAAGCATCCCACACAGCGGTGGACTCCATTCGCCAGAATCACCAACTTTCTCTACGTCCCCCTTCTATACCACATCACAGAGTAGAATACACCGTCTTACAGTCACTCGTTTTACGATCCACATACGTAAACACGCACTTCGTGTTCCGGCAACTCGCTCTTGAACCTGTCACATCTCCAGTATTTTGATATTGTCGGTGCTGTGGCGTGATATACTCCTCCCGGTACGGTTGTTATCGGGTTACTGTTTGCGTTTCAGTTGATAATTTTTGATCACTCAGTGACCACATTATCTCCTCTTATCTTCAGTAATCATAAACATAGTGGCATCGTTTTCTTGCTGTATCATCAAATTATACGTCCTGCATTGCTTCGGGTGTAATATTTGGCGGAGGAGACGTGGGGTGAATCACCTGAGACCGAATGTTTTCATTTCAGGACGTTGACTTGCCTTTCTAACATTCGAGTTGTCGAGTGTTGGGAGAAAGTATGTTTTGGATGGTGTGGAGGGGGTGGGTAGGTGGAGTTTTTAAAACACGTTTCTGGACTCATTACAGATAGATTTCCTTGGTCGTCTTTTCCTGAAATATTATGCAAATTTGATGGCTCATTTTGTTGGTCGTTTCTGTTATTGATTTTCTTTTTGTATTAAAACGACTTGTGGAAATTATCATTCCTCACAGTGTCTGTGAGGTTCCGATCGGATATAAACATGTACAATAGCGGAGAATTATTTCAATGTACAAACAAATAATCAGTTATAATTTCCTGGAAATATGCCCCTGCGATTGGATGTGAAAAAGAAATTGTTGGCCAGATCAGATCGCGTCAAATGCGTTGATTTACATCCAGTCGAAACATGGATGCTTGTGGCACTTTACAATGGCAATGTTCACATATGGAATTATGAAAATCAACAGCTCGTGAAATCGTTCGAGGTTTTTGTCCTTTAATAATTTCTGAGTTTTTTAAATGTGGAGAACTAAACTTGTATCCAAATTCTTTGAACATATTGTTCCAAAATTCATAAATTGTATGATTTAACTCAATATGTTTCAATCTTTATAGTCTCAGTTAGAGAATTATGCTGTTAGATGTCGTGCTGCTTTGAACATATACAACAGCAGTGACGTACGCTTTATACCGTTCTTCGTTGACTAATGAAACGCCTTCATTAGGTTTGCGAACTACCAGTGCGATGCGCAAAATTTGTCCCGCGCAAAAATTGGTTAATAACAGGATCGGATGATATGCATGTGCGTGTTTTTAATTACAATACACTGGAACGTATACATCAATTTGAAGCACATTCTGATTATTTACGTTCTATTGCCGTCCATCCATCTCAGCCTTTCATTCTGACCTCAAGTGATGATATGCTCATTAAACTTTGGGACTGGGATAATAAATGGAGTGTGAAGCAGACTTTTGAAGGTTATTTTCTAGATTTCGTTTTTGAATGGTGGAATCCAGACATGGTAGTTTAATTCATCAATGTCATAACTTCATTTCAGGCCATACCCATTATGTAATGCAGTTGGTTATCAATCCAAAAGATAACAATACTTTTGCAACTGCCTCACTTGACAAGACAGTGAAAGTTTGGCAGTTTGGTAGCCATACAGCAAATTTCACTTTGGAGGGTCATGAAAAAGGTGTAAATTGTATCGATTATTATCATGGTGGTGATAGACCATATCTGATTTCGGGTGCAGATGATCGCCTTGTTAAAATATGGGATTACCAGAATAAAACATGTGTTGCTACTCTGGATGGACATGCACAGAATGTGTCAGCGGTTTGCTTCCACCCTGAGTTACCGGTTATTATCACTGGTTCGGAAGATTCGACAGTTAGGTTGTGGCATGCCAGTACATATAGGTTCGTTACAGAATCCGTTGTATTGCAGTATATCGTGTTATAAATTATTGTGGTAAGTTAAAATTAACTGTTTTATGTTTTTATGTACATGTAGATTGGAGACGACTCTCAACTATGGCCTTGAACGTGTTTGGTGCATTCATGCCTTGCGCGGTTCAAATACAATTGCTGTCGGCTATGATGAAGGTTCGGTAACAGTTAAATTGGGTAGGGAAGAACCAGCAGTTAGTATGGACTCGAGTGGAAAAATTTTATGGGCCAAGCATTCTGAAATGCAACAAGCTAATTTGAAGACACTTGATGCTGCTGCGCTAGAACAAATACAAGGTTGCTTTATTATTCACAAACAAATCTGTTCGAAAATTCATATTTTTTAATTAAATTTGCTTGAAGCAACTGTCATTTATTTGTGTATTCTCTCATGCAACTATCATATTTTGATTTTCTATGACCTTTATTTTTTTAACATTTACTAACTGCTTCCAGTTCTATTTAACATCATCCCATGGATGGTCTTTCGAAAATTTGTTCATTCGTTGCGAATACCATCCAGCAGTTCACTTGTTTACATTTTTCTATAATTTTATGTTGATTTCTTCTAAATTTTGTAATTTTTGATTTTCTGTTTTTATTGCAGATGGAGAGCGTATTTTACTGTCGATAAAAGACGTAGGTTCTTGCGAAATATATCCCCAAACACTGGCTCATAATTCTAACGGACGTTATGTGGTTGCTTGTGGTGATGGTGAATATATTGTTTACACTGCCATGGCTTTGCGTAACAAGGTACTTCGAAGGATATATTTCCCATATCTGATATTTTTCATAAAGTATTTAAATTACGATCTAGGTAAAAATTGACTGGAAACGTTAGCAAATTCATGAACATTATTTTTTGAGTGACTCCTGAAAGCTAATTTGTCAGGGTCTTTATAGTTTGGTTACTACTATGCATAATGCAGATATCTTGTCAGCGTAAAAACATTTTCGAATATTCCAGGCTTTTGGCTCCGGTTTAGAATTTGTATGGGGTGCCGACCCTTCAGAATATGCTGTTCGTGAATCGACATCCAGTATTAAAATTTTCAAAAATTTCAAGGTCTGTTTTATTTTCAAATGCGTGGTTCATCCAGGTGCTTTCTCTTTCGCTATCCCAAGCATTTATGATTTACAGGAAGTGCGCACGTTGCGTCCTGATGTGATTATGGAAGGCATAGAAGGTGGACCACTCGTTGCTGCTCGTTCTGCGAATGCTTTATGCTTTTTTGACTGGGAAAGAGGATCTTTAATCCGTCGAATAGAGATATCAGCCAAACATGTTTATTGGTCTGACAGTGCTGAAATGGTACACTTTAGAACAATCTGTTTTATGGTTTGCGAAGTCTATTCAGTTTTTTTTTTTTCTCTCAATTATAACAAAACGCTGATTATAGGTTGCAATTGCAAGTGAAGATGCATTTTACATATTGAAATATAATAAAGAAGCAGTTGAAAATGTTACAGCAGCTGATATTGATGGCATAGAGGATGCTTTCGACGTCGTCGGTATGTAGATTTTTACAAAGAACAACCACATTGTTCTCAACAGTATATCACTTCGCGAAAAATAGAGAAGATAGAGTTTTTGATGTTTCTCATCATATTTCACTACTGCGTGATATGCGCGCTGAAGATTTTTTGCACTCACAATGGACATTTAACATAAAAGATTTCTAAAGAAATAAAATTGGTTTAAGTCAAGTAGAAACTTTCAATGTTCACAATTTCATATTAAGGAAGTGTTTTAGTAGCAGTTGTTTTCGTTTTTATTTATGTATTTCAGGTGAAGTACAGGAAAGTATTAAAACAGCAATATGGATTGGTGATTGCTTCATATTTACGACTGACTTAAACCGACTAAACTATTATGTAGGGGGTGAAATAGTAACTATTGCCCATATGGATCGTCCTCTGTATTTAGTGAGTTTAATGAGAAACTTTCATTTAATAAAGTATCATAACCATGATAACATAATAAGCAGTTCCAAATTTTGAAGATGTTACCAGTAACAGTGGAAGTGATTTTTTTCTATCAGTTTTTGAACAAGATTTTAAAAATATTTCAGTTCTACAATTTTTTCTGTTCGTGGTACCCAAAATATTTTCGGATCGCATTGCCGTATTCATTTTTTCCATAATTTTAGCTTGGTTATACTCCAAAAGAAAGCAGACTATACTTATGCGATAAAGACCATAATTTCGTCTCATATCGTTTGCTGTTATCAGTACTCGAATACCAAACTGCAGTTATGCGTCGGGATTTTGACACAGCGAATACTGTAAGTGGTACTTGGTAACATAAAAATCGGTATTAGTTAAATTTAGAAATTCAGTATTGAATCCTGAATTTTAAATATTGACGTTTCTTGCAAGCAGTACCAAATTTTAAAGATGTTGCCAGTAATACCGCGTGATCATCGAACTCGTGTAGCGCACTTTTTGGAGAAACAAGGATTCCGGAAGCAAGCTTTAGTGGTTAGTCAGGATCCAGACCATCGTTTTGAGCTTGCTCTCTCCCTTGGAGATTTAAAACTAGCGTATGATCTTGCCGTGATTGCTGATTCGGAGGAAAAATGGCGACAACTTTCTCAAGCAGCTACACTGCAGAGCGAACTTATGTTAGCCGGGGAATGTCTTGGCCGGGCACGGGATTATGGTGGATTATTATTGCTGGCTACATCTGCTGGATCGGCTGCATTGGTAGTGTTTCTTGAATTGTCCTGTCTGACTATGTTAGGTTTCTAAGAGTTGTAATCGATGTTAGTGGTCTTTCGTGGTGCCAAATTATTTCAAGGTACCGGTAACTGTTGTTCATAGCGTGATGCGTATGTTAGTCCGATTGCATATTAAGTCTACTTGTACAATTTGCCATTAGTTGACATTAGCTGTCTTCTGCCTATATTTAGTGGAGAAAAAAAAAAAAAAACGATTTGCAAAATAGGCATGAAATAAGACACATTATATTAATTTGTCCTGTCTTTTGTTGAACTGTAGTGGTCAGAACAAGTAAATTTCGCTGACCATCCCCATTTTTCAGCTATCTAAGTTGGCATCCGATGCAGAGCTTTCGGCGCAACATAACTCATCATTCCTTTCATACCTTCTGCTCGGAGACTTGGACAGATGTTTGGAAATTTTGATTTTAACTAACCGCCTTCCGGAGGCTGCGTTTTTTGCACGCACATACTGTCCGTCTCAGGTTAGTATAGGCACATTTAACATCGCTGTAGTTCTTGATATTGCTTTTTTTGTCGTAAGAAATCTAAGTCTAGAAATTTCATATTTCAGGTTGATCGCGTTGTGTCGTTATGGAAAGAGAAGATTTCCTGTAGGATATTAGAGGGACAGAAGGTTTTTCATATATTTTGGCATCCTTAATTTTTTTTTTTTTTTTTTTTTTTTTTTTTGAAAATTTGGTCTTTTTTTTAGATTAACATCTTTGTTGCAGAACATTGGTGAAAGTCTCGCTAAGCCATCAAAATATCCCAATCTTTTCTCGGGTTTTAATGAAAC